GCATATTGTTGCATTTCCGTTGTTATCAAATTCCATTCATGTGAGGGATTGTAGGAAATGGTTGGAAAATTCTAGGTCAAACCATAATTTTTTTCTAAGTTTGATCTATTTTTTAGATGGGCCTTGTGCATCGATTGTCGCGTGTCAAAGTGGTAACGCGTTTTATGCCGCGTTGTGATTCACGTGGTATATTTGGTTGCTCAAAACCATTATCGGGTGAATGGAAAATTGAAGCTAAAGTATACTCCATGGAAATGGAGTTTTGGTGAACAATCCTTAAAAGTTTGAATAAGGCTTGTCCCACATTGATTTGGTGGGAAGTTTTGAATGGGTTTATAAGGCATGGAATTGAAACTTGGGGTGTGCCCCAAGGGATACCCAAGTGTTTTAGAGAGGGAGGCTATGGGCAAAATGGACTAGACCCATTGGACCCAAAAATCACCACACACACGCGCACTGCCGCTGTCCGATCGGGCAGCCTGGGCCTGGGCGCGAGTGCGTGGTGTAAGGTTGAGTTAGGCTTGTCCGACCCAATACCTTTCTTTTTGGATCAAAAACATTTGAATTGAATTTTATTTTTTGAAAAGTAAAATCCAGAATTCAAATTAATTCCGGAAATAAACTAGTCCGATTTTTCTGTACACCCAAACAGGTCCCTTCCCGTTTTTATCTGTTTGAATTTTGAACCCAACAAATTTAAATCTGCTTAATTCAAAACCAAACAGGTTTCATACCTGTTCAAACAAGTTTGCACCTGTTTAATTCAAAACCCGCAGCCACCAATACATCTATAAATAGGACAACCCTCATTTGATGTTTTACATTCAGAAATTTCGTGCTTCACCTCTGCAAATTTATTCTTCATTTTGCTGCATTTAATTTTTTGTAAGAAAGAGTATAAACACTTAGTGTATTCGTTAGGCAAACAATTTGTAGTGCTGTTATTGTTTGTAGTTGATCATTTTATCCTGGGAGATAGACGTCCGCATTCTGAAAGCACCGTGGAAAGGACGAATCTATCTTAAAGACACAGTGTCAAACACTGGACTTGATCAGAATAATATTCAAGATATTAATCAAGTAAGTTATTTATTTATTTTATGTTTGTATTATTTATTTAAATCAGATTTTAATTTTATTTTTGTAACAAAATAAAATCTGTTTTTATTTATTTAATTCTTTTTCTAGTTTGATTTTTGTAATCAAACATTCATTCTCCTTTTCTATATTTCTTTTATATTCGTTTAGTACTCAAACAGAATTAATTAATTTAAATACAGTAAAGATTATCCAACACAGTTGTCTCAACTCCCCCACTAAATTGCCTAATCGCATGCATTTTTGTGACTGTCTTTGATGTCCATCCGCCCTGCTGGTGATTCGGCAGAACAAGAAACTCCAATTTGGAAAATTGAAACCATGCAATCTTGCATTTCATGGCTCGCCTCAGCAAAATTTTCTGAATTGTTTGCCTTCCTGGGCTGCCAAAAGATGTGGATCTGTGATTTCCATCACTTTCTCAGGAAAAGCCATTCTGGAGTAGTTGTGAAGGCTTACACCATTTTCAAACATGCCATCGTTTGGTCTCATCCCTGTAAACATATCTAGTACTAGAATCCCAAAACTGTAAACATCTCCCGCTCATGAAATTCCGGTCCCCATCCCATACTCTGTAACTCAATGATTATTACTTACATACCATGCAAGAATAACTTTACATACACAAATTTAAATCACAGTATCCAGAATGTGCACTTGTGCTGTGCACGACTACCCCTTTGAAAAAATAAAATAAATAAAATAATATCATGATTGGCTTGGTTGTTTTTTTTTTGTTTTTTTGACGACAAATAACTGCCATCCCTTAAGGGTATCGTATTGGGAAAAGGGACAAACACCAAGGATTTTATTTATTTATTTTTTAAAGCTAGTGTCCATTTGTTAGTTGTCTTAATAAATCATCTACACAATAACACTAATGTTAACGAAAGAAAGAGAAATAAGATTGATGCCTGGAGCTATATAGCCTATGGATCTCCTCACAGCAACAGTACTACTACCGCTGTAGCTGAAATTGTCGGTTGTCATAGACAGAAATCTAACTAACCCGAAGTCACATGCATGGTCATTCAAATCACTATCAAGTAAAACATTGTCGGTTTCAAGTCACAATGAACAATTGGCGTTTCACAATGGTGGTATAGGTAATCCAGTGCAGAAGCAATGTCAATCACTACGTTGAGTCTTTGAATAAAACTCAAAACACCCTAACGGCTGTCCTTGTGTGCCTTGGTGGTGCAACCACTTCTCCAAACTCCCCTTAGGCGTGAAATCAAAAACTAGTGCTTTGAAATCATAACCTCTGAAGTCAATGATTGAGCATGAAGTTAAGCTCTTGAGAAGATTCCGATGCCTAATCTTTCTCAATGCTTCACACTCGAGCATGAAACTCTTGGCAGCTCCTCTTTGTTGAAGGTTGATTACCTTCACAGCAATCGGCGTTTCTTCTTGATGGATAACTCCTTTGTACACAGATCCAAAACTACCCATGCTAATTAAGTTTTCTGATGCAAATCCATCTGTCGCCTTAAAGAGCTCTTCGTAGGAAGTCCTGAAATAGAGTGCAGCAAAGGAAGAGGCTATAGATGGCTTCTTTCTTGACTCCTTTGTACAATTGAAAACAAGAATTACTGTTAGCAGGGCTAAAAGTGACAATGCACCAACTAGCGGGAGCGTAAGTTTTAACATAAGGGACTTTCTGTGTGTTCTTGGCTCTTGAGTTTTGCATCTTGGTAAATCCAAGCTAGAAATTCCACCACAAAGCTGCTTGTATCCGACAACTGAAATTTCACTTCCATTGCCAAAGACTCCGATTGGTACCTCGCCCTCAAGATTGTTGAAAGATAAGTTTAGGCTTTGCAAATTGGGCAAATTCTTTGGAATTCACCGGACAAGTGTTGTGCGGAAGATCTAAATATCAGATGTCTATCAAAGAATTCAAAGATGATGGGATGTTTCCATCAAAGGAATTACCTGGCATATAGGGGTATTCTAAGTTGTTGCAATCACCAATTGTGCTTGGAATTTTGCCCGATAATTTGTTCCCAGAGATGTCCAATACCTCCAAGGTTTTCAAGTAACTGAATTTCAGTGGGAGGGAAGCTGTCAAGGAATTGTGAGACAAGTTTAGTGAGATTGACAAGGAAGGAAGACTAAAGATTTGTTCAGGGATAGTGCCATCAAGTGCATTTTGAGAAAGATCTAACAGTTACAAAAAGTGACAGTTCTCAAGATCCGAAGGAATACTCCATTAAAATAATTGACTTCTAGATAGAGTACAACTAGTTCAGTCATATTGGCAAGTGTATAAGGTCGTTTACCTGATAATTTGTTTCCACTCAGTTGCCACCCCCCTTTGTAGCCTTTGAAGTTTTCCTATAGAGTCGGGGATTGTACCCATGAACAGGTTTGCCTCCATCCCCAATACATTTAAGTTGATAAAATTTCCAAATTCAACAGGCATGGTTCCAGATATCTGATTTCCTCCAAGGTACAATCTGGTAAGATGGATTGAGAGGTTGCCCATGGAACTAGGCAATTGACCTCCAAAATTATTGGCGGTTAGGCCAAGAGTCGTTAGGTTGGTACAGTTGTACAAAGAAGGAAGAAAACTCAGATCATCAACCCCCTATAAACAACATTTAACTGTCGCAAGCCCTGTAGGCTTCCAAAATTTCTAGGCATATAAGCCTTGAAGCATTAGGAAAGGAACGTTGAATATTTATCCAAAAAAAAAAAAAAAAGGAAAGGAACGTGGAATAGTTCGACTAAACTGGTTGCTATTGAAGTTTAAAACTTGGAGTTTAGGAAGATTAAGTCCTATATCCTGTGGAAGACTGTTGTATACTTTGTTCAATGCAACTAAAAATCCAATTAGACATGAGAGATTGAAAAGTAAGGGAGGAATCTCACCAACCAGGTTATTAGGACCCAAACCGATAAACGTCAGTGTTAGTAATTGACCTGGTGAATCCGGAATACTTCCTTGAAGATAATTTATCCCAACAGTGTGACTTTGGAGAGAAGAAAGATTTCCAAGAGAAGGTGCGATAGCCCCCATTAAATTGTTTCCTTCGAGTCCAAGTGAGATGAGCTTGAAAAATGAACCAAAGTTACTCGCAATGTCCCCTATAAAGCCATTGAAGCCTAAGGTAAGGGTCACCAGCTCAGAGCAAAATGACAAGTTGGCTGGAATTTCTCCTGAAAAAGAATTATAAATTATTCATTAGGTTGAGCACTTGCAGCTGGAACAAGCAGCCAGGTTGTAGAGGGATTCACCATTGAAGCTGTTGCTTTGAAGATTGATGACTTTGAGGAAACTGAGATTGCGTATGAAGGGAGAAACCTCTCCAGTAAGCGCTTGAGATTGCAAGTCTATGACAGTGACTCTTTGATGATGATGAAGGCTGCAAGTGATGCCTTGCCACTGACAGAAATGAGGAGAGTCGTTCCAAGAACTCAATGCACCCAATGGATCATTAGTTATCTAACTCTTGAAGTTCATCAGTGCGAGATGATCAGTTTCATTTCCTGGAATGGCTAATAAGGATGAGTCAGTGGTTGAGAATGAACTCCCCAAGCTTACAAGTGAAATCACAAAAATTAAAACACACAAAAATATATGAAGAAGGCTACACAGAGCATGCTATGATGTTTTATATCCATGGGATATGCTGGTATGGCATACGTTAAAGACCAGGGTAATTTTTTGCCATATCACTGAATGCTATATTACCAACAAAACATTTTCCCTGTAGGACACCATTGAAGAAAATAGAATTCCGAAATAAACATATAATTGCTGACTTCCTATGTTCTGCGCAAGTCATCACTAAGTGCGCTAAAATGCTGTGAATAAGATACATTTCTGGATATGCATAATGCTGATGCTAACTGATAGCAACTACCTACCTGCATAATATGAATGCGGTGAAATTAAGAGACTCAATGAATCAAATAGATAAATAGGATATATCTGTGTTTTTATGTACAAACTGATTTGAAAAAAGAGACTCAATAAATCAAATAGATAAATAGAATATATGTGTTATGTACAAACTTGAGAGGGTAATTTTTGGGAAAAATTGGGCCGAGCTGCGAGTTGGGCTTTAAAGCCTAAAAACGCGAAGGACTAAGTAAAAAGGCCGTAATGGTTACTCCGGC